GACTTCTTCGTGGGTCATTAGCAACAAGGAAATCTAAAGGCCTTTTGCTACTAGAACCATTTTAAAAAACGGGAGTAGAACTATAATCATAAGGGGAATCTGCAGAAGTAACTCCACATGGTTCTACATTGGCAGAATTATGTCGAAACTTGTTCTCAAAGAACTCAACATCCCTTGATTCCGCAACCACATTAGATTCTAAATCTAGAACTAATAGGCTTTCGAGTATTTTGCATATCCAAGAAAAACAAATTTCAAAGCTCGGATACCTAACTTAGTTCGCTTAGGATCTGGGACTCTATAGAAAACAAGACAAACCCAAACTCTCAGATAACTCAAGTTCGGTTTCCTTCCCTTCCACAACTCATAAGGAGATTCGTTTAGCTTCTTAGACGAAATCCTATTGTGTACATGGCAGGTTGTTAGCAAAGCCTCACCCCACAAATTGTTTGGAGCACTAGCGTTAAAGTTATTAGGAAAATACTCTCCACCTCTATCACTTCGAAGGATTTGTATTTTCCTACCTTTTTTAGTTTCCACAACATATTTATACAACTTAAGCTTATCACAGGCTTCATCATTGGTTCCCATTAAATATACATAGGTAAATCGAGTACTATCATCAATAAAAGTAATGAAGTACCTACATCCTCCTGTAGTTAATTGACCATGAAATTCACAAATATCAGAATGTACTAATTCCAATAATTATGAATTTCTATCAACCAACTTAGGAAATGGCTTTCTCTTCATCTTAGCTTGCACACAGATTTCACATTTAACTCCATTGTCATCACCACAAACTACTAATCCATTTCTAGACATCTATTTCTGAGTCGTAAAGTTAACATGGCCCAAACGATTATGCCATAAATCAAACGAAGTACTTTCTATACAATAATTTGCATACACATTGATATAAGCAGAACCATCAAATTTATTATTATTACCATTGTCAATACTTAGCTTAAACATAGCATCACTAACATAGCCCTTCCCAACAAACATACCAGCCTTAGTCAGAATCACCCTATCAGATTATATCCTAACCTTTATCCCCTTCTTACAAAGCATGAAACCATAAACCAAGTTCTTTCTAACATCAGGAACATCAAGGACATTGGTGAGAACAACTTTCTTCCCCGAAGTGAAGAAGAGCTCCACGGTTAAGATCCAAGGACATTGATCGTGCGATGGTCACCCAACAGAACTTCATGTTCGTCCATCGACTCTGTATAGTCCTTGAACATGGCTCTCTTGTTGCAAATGTAAGAAATTTCTCCTGAATAATACCACCAATCAGTACTGGTCATGACTCCATCCATGTGCAATTCCCGAATCATCCCCACATGTAAGTAAGAAATCATTGCAACAATCTCGCTAGGCTCAACTTTCTCCATGTCAGGAAAATTTAAGGGAGAAACAGATTGAAGGCGTGGTTAATCACTCTCCTTAGAGTGTTATTTGCCCCTACTACTTTATTGCTGGTAGGATTTAGGAAACCACCATAGGAGTCCCTCCAATCAAACCCAATTAATTATCCAGAATTAATCAAAATAATTCGGGTAATTAATTTGCTAAAAATTCAAATCCGAACGCGTCGCGCGCAAAGTGCGTTGTACGATTTAATATGTCAAATTAAATAGCCATACTTTTTCCAAAAGCCCACTAACCACTTTATCCAATAAACTAAAGTGTATGAGATCTGACTTAGCCATAACTAGAGAGCCTACTTAGTTTTTCCTTGAGTGGTAGAAGGAAGAGAGGGAGAAGATTGAAAAGTTGTGTGAGTGAAGAATGAAATGAGGGCGACATTTATAGGGTTTGGGGGCGCGGGCGTGAGGAGCGGATCATGACAGACTGAAAAGATCAACGAGGATCGCTTATCTAAAACGCGACATGTGACTATCATCATGCTTTCTCTTTACCGATCCGCGTCACTATTAGTAGACCAATGAAAATACTCCATCATGCATCGCCTCCAGGTCACACAATCAAATCGTCACACGTCTTTCAACGTGCAAGAATAGAGTGTCTGGCATCATTTCTCTATACGAATCTCGTGCTTCTAACCTGAACAACTCTGGTCGTTGCGAAGAGCAGCATTTTGTTATCTAACAATGAGAGTTGAGTGTTTAGTTAGTCGATCACTTTCGTCCAAAACGACCCAATTTGATGGCCCTCACTTTGAGGGTTTCATGCATTATCAACATCACCGAAATGATGAGTAGCAATCCAAGCCGAAACTTGGGAAAAATCCAAAACTACCACTGTTTAAAAAAAAAATTACAAAAATACCACCCACACCAAATAATTTCCAAAAATACCATCGTTTATATAAAACTGCGCATTTAATGAGCGGTTTTTAATGAAACCGCGCCTCCAGGCGACGGTTATAGAACAAAACGCGCCTCCAAGGCGCTGTTTGACCTTGCATGGTTGTCAAACCGCGTTGCCACGTGGCGGTGCATCAAACCGCCCGTTGGAGGAGCGATCTGACGGCCAAAACGCGTGCCAACTGAGCGATCCGCGTCGCCCACGAAAACCGCTCCCCCGAGGTGCGGTTTGACCGTTGGGAAACGCAAACCGCGTGCTGGAGGCGCGGTTTTCGGTGGGATAAAATGACTGAACCGACCCTCCCCCACGCGGTTTCGCAGCTATATAAACCCCCCCTCCCCTTCATTTTTCTTCACACCAACCACATTCCCCCCCTCTCTCCCTCTAACTTCTCTCTACCCACCCCCCTCCCCACCCAAAAACCTTAGAATTAATTTTTTTGTTGGTTGCGGCTAAGTCCGATCTGCCTCCAAAAAACTTTTTCTTTGGTTTTCACTAAAAAATCGTCGAACCTCTGTCCGGATTCCGAGAGAATGGCCGATTTCGCTCAAGAAGAGGGCCTTTTTATGATGATTATCAAACGGTACGCACTCATTTTTCCCAATTGTTGTTGTTGTTAAAATGATTTGTTTAATTTATATACTAATGATTTATGTTATTGTTATGCTATCGTAGGTTGGGCCGGATGTTAATATTTTCAATCAACGATATTATGTTGATCAAGGACCGATTGATCCGACAGTTTTATACGATCAAGCAAATCATCGTTCAAGAGACGTTTGGAACGACCACAAGGTACATATTATTTATCATCACTTGTAATTTGTATTTTGTTAAAGTAATTTATTTGTTTGTACAATAATTTACTTAATTGTTAATCGTATTGATTATTTTCAATAATTTAAATCAATACAATACAACACTTATTTAGACTCTTTATAAAGAAATGCATGTCTAAGGAAATGGGGACTTAAGTGATCATCATGATCCCCCCATGACCTGGGAAAATCGGGTTCTAAGCGATCCTCGGACCCCCCCTTTTTCTGTCAAAAAGACTGTGTTTCTAGGGAGATGTATATCTCTCCTAAGAGTTTTACGAGTGTACTTGTATTGCTTTGAATTATTGAAAATAATCAATACGATTAACAAAATAATATATTTGATTTTATGTGTATGTGTACAAAAAATAATTATAGTTAAATTTCAAATATTATTTTAGTTATGTTAATATTAATGTTTATTAGATAATGTATATTTCTATAAAACCCGCTTGATTTAATTAATATTGCATCTTAGAAAATTATTTTAGTTATGTTAAAATAAATGTTTATTAGATAATGTATATTTCTCTAAAACAACCTTGATTTATATATAAATTGTATCTTATAATATATTTATATATGTATAAATCATCAACTTATAGTGAAAGTTAAATTCTTCTCTAGGATGCATACCATATAGTTCGCTATAGGGGCACAACGAATGTGCTTGAATGGAACGACGTCATCTTGCCCTTTCTATAAAGGGCAAGATTGGATTCGATTAGGCATTTCAATGGAATCAAGATCGACCGCCAACTCATCACGGCGATGGTAGAGAGATGGCAAAAGGAGACACACTGCTTCAATTTTCGTGAAGGCGAGTGCACCATCACACTTAAGGACATCGCCATCCTAACCGATCTCCCCATCGATGGTGATGTTGTTTGTGTGGACTCTACGCCACCACCTAAAGTTGTTGCCAATATGAGTGGTTGGCAACATTTTATATGGACGGTCACCGGGTTGTGTCCAGCCCTACCCCCTGCATGCCGACATGTCCGACATGTTGGCTGTCGGGTGACCAGGCACAAACCGCGCCTTGGGGCAGCAATTTATGTCCTGACATTGTAAACCACCGCTTGGGGAGGCGGTTTGTAATGCCGAAAGTTAAACGCTCCCTCTTGAAGCGTTTTGTGGTAGGGTTAGCTTATAACCGCGCCTTCCAGAAGCGTTCTTTTCTGGAAATTAAAAACGCTGCCTGGAGGCGCGGTTATAATGTAAAACGCTGCCTGGAGGCGCGGTTTTATTAAAAATCGCTCATTAAAGGAGCGGTTTTATATAAACGATGGTATTTTTGGAAATTATTTGGAGTGGGTGGTATTTTTGTAATTTTTTTTTAAACAGTGGTAGTTTTGGATTTTTTCCCGAAACTTGTGTATTTTGGTGTAAATTATGTATAGTTGGAAATAATTTTATCAAGTTGTATGTAGTTTGACGGGAAAATCATAATTTTAATGGATAAGGAGATGTAATTAGTTCATACTATCCTTGTCCTGCTGTAAGTTGCTCGTAAGATAATCATATTTCCCGTCTATCCCATGTGCATTATTATCATCGTCAAAGAAAAAAAAAAGGCAATTGTGTTTGTTAAATTTTGGCGTGCAACGGGAGGAGGAGAGTCTGTCGATGTCAACATATTGTGCGATTAAATTACTGAATCGGTCCCCAATCAGAGCAGAGTCAACCGAGGGAGGAGGTGAGGGACAATAGTGACCTTTCCTCTGCCCAGGAGACGGGCCCCCGATTTTTTTGTTAATCAATTTCGGGTACTGAGTCTGCTCTGCTGACACTTCTGAACTCTCTGATATATAAACTGTAAGGAGGAAGGAGCAAGGGAATCATCACATCACAATAATCAATCGGAGAGCGCGTCTTCCGCCCCCTATACAAGAATTGCTTCGATCCGATCCCAGCTGCCAAGTCAAAGCAAGCCTAGAGAGGGAAGAAGAAAGAAGAAGATGCCTTGTGTTTACATCACCACAAATCTAAATCTCGACGGAGTCGATGCCGATCCAGTCTTCTCCGACGCCACTAAAGCCGTCGCATCCATCATCGGAAGGCCAGAATACGTAAGCGCTCTCTCTCTCTCTCTCTCTCTCTCTCTTTCTTAACTCACCCTTGCTCTTAATTTGCAAATTAATTAGATGAGGCAGGCCAGTGGGCATTTGGATTTTGGGGGGCAAACTGGGTTAGACTCTCCTAAAGGGTATCAAAAGCTCTGTTTAGACTTTCGGATGGCCAATTAGCATTTCATTAGCGAGGCAATTAGAGAGTAGTTTTTAGTTTTTATTTATCATTTATCACAGCTAGCTCCGTAAAAAGTTTCTATTCCTTGGGCGTTTCTTTTAGCAAAGGGAGTGGTTCAATGGATTACCTAAAAAACATGGGACAAGATTTCACCGGCAGGTTTTCCCGACAACTTTTTTTTTTCCCCAGATGGTGCTCTAGTTATATTTGGATAAGATAAGGAAGAGGAAAAATACTTTTCCCGTTTTTCTCCACTGGGTAGTTTTGGAGGCCGCCGCCCGCCGCCGGTCACCCTGCGCCGGGAATTTACTTTACTTTCTGAATGGACACTTGCTATTTTTGTTAGTGTTAGACAACAAGATACCAAAGTGTTGTCCCTTCAAAAATCTCCATCAGTGTCCACTTGGGACTTTTATCTGCAATATGCACATGTTTTTTTTTCTGAGGATGACACCAAGACTTATCTTCTTTATTTTTTTGGTGGGAAACCAAGACTTCCCTTCTCTTCTTATATGAATAGTTCAACCATTACTATGACGTTGAAGTTGAGGCGTTTCATCTCGGTGTTCAAACGGTTTGGTTATCGTGGTAATCGTTTTAATCGGTACCATTTGGATAATTTGGTTTGGTTAATTTGGATAATTAGTTTGGTTTGGTTAAAGTTTTTAGCTTGTTTGGTTTAGGTGGTTTGGTTTGGTTTCAGACACTCCTAACCAGTCAAACCAAATTAACCAGTTAAGTAATTAGTCATATATCTAACATATATTATATACACATAATACTTTGCATAACCACTCAAGAGTTAATGTTCATCCCTTTTAGACTCATAAAATATAAAGCTCAATATTGCTCATATAGTGTATATTTGTATATGTAAAGTCTAGACTACAACATATGGACGCCTAATTTAGATAAATTTCATACATTATGATGAATGAAAACTTGAAAGGAAGGTCATTTCCAGCCTATGATAATTGCTAAGAGACTAAGTCAATTTACACAAACACAACAATTCATTAACCCATATCATTGTCATAATTTTTTGTTAGGTGAATACTTCTTTACAAATCGTAAGATAATTGTCTTAATTGCATGTATTTTTGTTAAGGGTCAACTATAACTACGTGTTGATTGTTATGTTTTATTCATTATATAAATTGCGAATTGTTGCATTAACCGGAAAATTTTCATCGTCAATGATAATGTGATTTTATATTGGTTAATCTGGTTAACCAATTAACCAAACCAATTAAACTTTAGTTTGGTTAATTTGGTTGTTGTATTAGTTTGGACGGTTTGGTTATGATATTGTATTCCATGGTTAATAGAATTTAGCCTTATTTGGTTTGGTTATAACCATGGTAACCATTTGAACACCCCTAGACTTTCATCCCAATTCTATTGGGAATATGGTATTAGTTTGTCATGTACAATTAAAAACATGCCACGTCATTTGATTCAACAACTGAAAATAGAAGGGAGACCTAATCAATTGTATTAGCAGACTCCTACCATTTTTTTTTTTTGTATTAGCAGACATTGAACACCTCCATTTTAGCATCATAGCTAAATTGGTAGCTAGGCAAAACGGATTGTTCAATCAACCTTTTCTAAACTTTTACCAAACATATTTTTCTCCAAGAGTGAGCCTTCATTAGGCCAAATGCGAGACTTCTGGAGTAGTTAGCTTTTAAAAAGAAAATTGACATCAAAATATTATTTAAAATTGAAAAGGATTATACATGTTTTGCTGATTGCAACATGATTTTGTTACGTGGTTGATTTTACGAGGATAGAAATCAAGATAATGAAATATTAAACGTAAGACAAAATGATAACATTATACAAATGCCTACATTTCTTAAACGTCTGAGTTATTCTCATGTAAACAATACATGTTGCCTGACATATGCAAATGCTTTTTATTCATTTGGGTCCTTCTGCTTATATTTCGGTTACTTTATGTTTTTATTTTTATTGTGGCGATGATGCAATGCAGTTCGTAATGGTATTACTAAAAGGATCGGTGCCAATATCGTTCAATGGGAACAAGGATCCGGCAGCATACGCGGAGATAGTGTCGATGGGAGGGATAAACAGAGAGGTGAAGAGAAAGTTGATTGCAAGTCTGGGCACCATTCTTCAGAACAGGCTGTCTATCCCCAAGACTCGCTTCGTCCTCAAAGTTTACGACACCACGGCTGCAGCTAATGCCTCCAAATTGTAATACTAAATCATTCATATATTACCACAATGGGTCCTGTCCAACTTGCAAATCATATTGATAATAATAATGTTTATATAAAGTTAAACCTACGTTTTTATTGCATAAGACTTCTACTATTACTTCATAAGATTAATTACCACCATAATGAGGGAGGAAAAATCTCAGAATTTCAGTCACTTATTCCCGTCCCGCATTATAATAATAACATCATTATACCACAACCCATTTTTAAAGAATGAAAACACTCAATTATACGGGGAATAAGTCGTAAGTATTATGATGTATAGTAGAGTATATATACAGAAGAAGTATACGTGTACAACAAGTACAAGGAAGAACAAATACAATCAAACTAGGATAAGGATAGTTTATTCCTAATATGCCCCCGCAAGATGGAAACGACGTCAGCTAGCTCAATCTTGGAAGAAATGAGACGAAAACGAGTGACAGGCAGAGCCTTAGTAAGCGCATCCACAAGCTGAGATACTGTGGAGACATGACGAACAACTAACTGCTTAGCTTGGACAAGCTGATGCACAAAGTGATAGTCCAACGCGAGATGTTTCATACGAGAATGAAATACCAAATTTGAACTTAAATTCACGGCACCCATGTTATCACAGGATAAGAAAAGCGGAGCAGATAGTGGCTAATGAAGCTTTGTGAGAAGATTAGAAACCCAACGAACATCAAAGATAGCAAGTACAATGGCACGATACTTGGCCTCGGTACTCGAACGAGCAATAGTACGCTGCTTCTTCGACTTCCAGGAAATGAGAGTGTCAACCTGTTAAATAAGAAATCCTGAAGTCGAGGTACAATCATCGAGATCCCCGACCCAATCAGAGTCAGAAAAGACATGCAAAACTAGAGGAGAATGTTGTCGCTGAATCGTAAGGCAAATATGGCAAGTTCCAGCAATATAGCAAAAAAGTCTCTTAACCTGTTGTCAATGTAACGATGTAGGAGCATGCATATACCGAGAAAGACGATTAACCGCAAAGGCATTATCAAGTCGAGTAGTAATAAGATACTGAAGAGAGCCAACATCCTCAAGATATAAAGTAGCATCAGCAGAGGAAGATCCATCAAATAAGGACAGGCGCGCAATAGACGAGAGGGGAGTGCTAGCTTGTCGTGGATCAAGCATGTGAAGACAAAAGAGCAACTCGGTATTATACTTATGCTGGGACAATATATAGCCATAGTTGGTTGGGATAACCTTGATCGCAAGAAAGTAATAAACAAGGCCATGCTTCAATGCAAAACGACATGCAAGTTGCTCTTGAAAACAAGTAAGTTTGGAAGAATTATTACTCGTGAAGAGAAGGTCATCCACGTACATAAGAAAATAGGCTAGAATACATATCAATGATAGACAAATAGAGAAGCATCAGAGGATGTTTTCACGAAACCATGGGCAAGAAGAAAGGAACTGAGTTTGCTATACCAAGCGTGAGGAGCCTGCCGAAGTCCATAGATGGCTTGACAGAATGACACACATGGCGATGATAGACTAGATCATAAGTCCTGGTGGTTGTGACATATAAACAAATTCATGTAGCGGGCCTTGTAAGAAAGCATTCTGGTCATACTAAAAAAGCGACCAACCAAAAGTGAGAGTTCTAGTGAACACAGTGTGAACAGTGACGGGCTTCAACACAGGACTAATAGTCTCGTGATAGCCCACACCCGGACACTAATGCAACCCCTTCACCACAAGACGAGCCTTAAAGCGCTCGATCGAGCCATCGGGGTTGAACTTTACTCGAAAACCCAATGGCAGCCGTTGACATTGTAATGTGATTCACGAGGAACCAAGTCCCATGTGCGATTGGCAAGTAAGGCAACATTCTCGGTAGCCAAGGCCTTCCGCCAAGAAGGATAACACAATGCTTCTTTAAGGGAAGATCAGGGGAAATAGGTGGTAAGGAAGAGACAACACCAGGAAACTGATCTTCAACAAAAATAACATGACGAGAAAGAAAGACAAGTCGGGACACAAGATCGAGACATCGATATACGCTTTGTTGATGAGAATATCCTAGGAAGACACAAGGATGGAAACCAGGATTAAGCTTATGTGAACTATACGGGCGTAACCAAGGGTAGCATGCACAACCAAAAATATGAAGTTTGGTATAATTATGAGACCCGTTGAACAAGAGGGCGATGGGAACACGACCTCGAAGAGAGGGGGAGGGAAAACTATTTATAAGATAAGTAGCAGTAGAGAATGCATAGGACCAGTACGAAAGGGGAAGGGAGGCTTGATGTAACAAGGTAATACCCGTCTCAGCTTAATGGCGATGTTTACACTCAACAAGACCATTGTATTCAGGAGTATAAGGTGGGGTAAGGAGATGAGTGATACCAGAGGCAACAAGGTTAGATTTATGTTTTTGAAACTCCCCACCTCCATCGGTATATAGGCGGCGAATGGTTCTGTCAAAATAGTTCTCAATAAGACGTTTAAAGGCAAGGATGGTGGGTAAGACATCGGATATAAGTTTGAGAGGATAAAACCAAGTGTAACGCGTAAAGTGATCAACGATGACTAAATAATATGAATAACCATCCACCGAAGATAAAGGAGTAGGGCCCCATACATCAGAAAGTAGTAAGTCAAAAGGACATAAACCGGACAAACTGGAATCACCAAAAGGGAGCTTATGACTCTTCTTCGACAAGCATGAATTACAATGTGACAAGGATGAAAGCTTGGAAATAGGAGGAGACTTGACACAAAGTAAAAACCGACCCAAGGATTGATATGACTGACTCGCTAAAACACAACTCCTAACAATGACCAATTGTATCCAATGAAAGGGACTACAATATAGTGGCACAAGTAATAAATATCGAATTCACAGGTCTCTAGAGTTATTATTACTCAACTTCAGTTCGTTATCTAGCTAACCATATTAAGATATAAGAACTATAACTACTCTAGCAAACTACATTTAAAGTTAATGTAATTATAGGTTGGGGGCTCACTTAGGTATGATTCCCCCTAGATTACAGTTAGGCCATGTTTTAATTCACCCAATCCAATTCAGTTGACAGATGTACTACGGAAAGTTCTTAACAAGTCTGGAATCTCAACTAAAGCAATCCAGACCCTCTCAGTTTGAATACCCGGCGGGTGACTAACCTCCACGGCATAAACTACCCATGGCAATAACACACCAAACTTTCTAACCTCTACTAAGTAATCGATCCACTACTTCCAATTAAGGTTGCTCTATTAACCTATGTAGAGAATATTGTTCTAGGTTAAAGTAGGAATCACAAAAGTTTGATCAGGACTCAAGTAATTATGAATCAATGCCTCAACTTAATATAAAATGTCAATCAATCACGAATTCAAGTTCATACAACTCTTTCTAGCATACAAATCTAGGGGTTTCAAACCCTAAGTGAAGGGAAGTTACTCCATTGAGAATAGAGAGAATGCAAAAATTTGATCTAGATCTTCAATCTCTATCTCCAAGCTTGATTCTCGAGCTCCAATGGTGAAGAAATCCTCCAAAATAGCTGTAAGAATGATCCTAAGGTGCTCTCTCTAGGGTTCTCCCCCTCCAAAAACCCACAAAACAGACTTTTATACCCGCTTCTGAAAGTTACCCGATCGGGTTTTATAGATACCCGATCGGGTTTCTGGATCTCCCGACCGGGGATTTTTTCTGATCAAAATACCCTACCAGACTTCAAATTCCCTATCGTGGATTTGAACCGGGGATTTCACACTTCTGGGTCCCTTGTCTTTGATTTTTCGTTTCTCCCTCGTTCAGACTCCGAATGAGGTGTCGTTTGATCCCAGATGCTCGTAGTATCGTCTTCTTCCTTATAACGAAAATTTCACATGATTCGTTGGTCACAAAATGAGGTAGAAATCCATTCTTATTCAGGTCATGCCGAGTTTCTTCCCTCGAGTCACCAATTGATCTCCGATTGACTTGGAACTTGCGCCTATGCTTCATTTTACGTGCTAGGACCTGAAATGTGACAAAAGGAACACAAACTAGCATAAAATAGGCCAAAGAAGTGATAATGCAAGCTTAAACAATCAAGAAACAAAGGGGAAAACATGTGCAAATATCGATTCATCAATGACAGATGACCGAGACGACGATGCCAAGAGCTAGGGGATTGACGAGCGGTAACAAGAGAAAGACGAAGAGTGCGATAGTCCCCAGGTAGCTCATACGTATCACCATTTTTCCTTCCGGTCAGAAGTGGGACCCGTGCTTAGATCCTTCACAACAACAAAAATCAGCAAAGAATTTAACGGACACTGGATTAGTGCGACAAAGTTTAGCAACGGAAAGTAGACGCTTCTTAAAGGCAGGAACATATAGGATATCACGAAGGTTAAGAGTATGTGAGGCATTAGAGATGGAAGAAGATCCAATATGAGTGATGCGCAAACCTGTACCATTGCCAAGATAGACTTCGTCGAGACCATTATAATCTAGTAAAGAGCTAGGTTACCAAGATCATGGGTGACATGATGGATGGCAGTTGAATCAACAAGCCACGGATCAGCAGTAGGAGCGCTCAGAGTAGGTGCATTGTTAGTATAATTGGCCTGTGGATGTTTATGAGGATGAAGCTGGTAGCATTGTTTGGCGGTGTGACAAGGCTAGTCACAATATTGACAAAACGGACGAGAAAGCGATGCGAATCATCGTCAGCACGAGGAGAGTCCTAGGAAGAAGAAGGATAACCCAGGGATGATGGCCACCATGAGTGCGGCCACCACCACGGTGACCATGACCGTCACGACTGCGTTGAGTAGAGAAGAGGTTGCAGGCTGGTCACTGTAGACACGAGCAGCACGTAAGTCAGCTTCCAAAGCCACTAGACGATCCTAAAGATCTTCAAGAGAAGGGATAGTTTCACGTGCACGAACATCAACGGAAAATTCCTTGTAGTCCGAGCCGAGTCCACGAAGACATAGGGCACCTAGTTTGGCGGGCGATACCGGAGCCCCAACAAGGGCAGGTTCAGCAGCATGGGAGCGAAGAGATTGAAGAAAAGAGGTGATGTCTCGATCCCCTTTCTTCTTAGCATAGAGACGATCACGAAGATGCATTATGCGTGATTGAGAGCTGTAGGCGTATGTGCGCTGCATGATATTCCACGTACCAGTAGAAGTAGTGTCGGCGTGATGAAAGGCAAGACACCTTCAGAAACAAAGGCAAAAATGCCATTCAACAAGAGATGATCTTTCCAAAAGCAGTTAACGTAAGCTGGATTGCGGACTTCAACATTGT